CCATGTGCTGCTTCCTTTTTCATCCATAATATTAACTTAATGGGGGACCCAAAACTTACAAGAAGAGTAAGACCCCACCGCACATGCCCTAACCCTAACCCCAACCCTCCATTTCCTTCATACCCCATATTTTTAGCCCCACAACACAATGCTAATGGCTTTGCTCCTCAGGTGCTGTGCAGAGAATTGCATGCACTAATATTGTTTTTCTCATACGGATAACAAAAATAAAATCAGAATAGTCAAGAATTGCGGCTCAAAACATAAAATGAAAAAGTAGCATATAATTACTTTTTTCTAACATGGTTAAAATTTTAATTTATTATTATATTTTTAAGAACGTGACCATTAAATTCAATTTAGTTTATGTAAACATGTTATGTGTTTGAATAAAACAAAATATTTTATAATAATTGAATATTTTTAATTAAATTAATCACAAAATATTAAAAAAAAATTTAATATATCATTTTTTTATCCTAAAAAACACAATGGAAACTTAACTCAAACATAATTTTTAAATCAAATATGATGTATATCTATATGTATGTATTGATTTAATTAGATGGATAACAAAAACAAAACCAAAACCAAAATAGTCTATAATTACAACTCAAAAATAAAGTTAAAAATCATTTTGATTTATTTATGTTTGGATAAAAAAAATATTTTAATTAAAATAATCATAATAATTCAAAAAAAAAAACCCTAACTATTCTTTTTTAAATCAAACTATAATATATATATATATATATATGTGTGTATGTATGTATTGGGTTGAAGATGAATTGTCATTTTTTTCTGACATCATGAAAAATATGTTATCATTATTGTATTGATTATTTTTCTTTACAATTAAAAATAAACCAAAAATTCGAATTTTTAATTTTATAGTTTTTTTTTTTTTTTTTTAAATGTCACAACGGCAAAAGGAAGGATAATATGGTAAAATCATTAAGTAGGGGACTGGCAGGCGTCAAATTTTAAATCACACGATTCACGAGGTCCCATGTCATGCAGGGTTTACTTGTTGCATCAAATAATAGCCGTCAGATTACTATTTCAAGATCTCGAGAGATCCAACAGCTCACGTTTAAAGTTGAGCATTCTGTAAAATTTGAATCCATGTGCGGGTAATTATCTGCTACCTCGCCCCTTCTTATAACCGGTTAGTCAATCACCAACCACGTGCACCCATACCAAAAGAATGTTCTTATTTATATTTTATAAACTTAAAATGCTTTCATTCTGTTTTACTTATAATTACTTTTTTTTTATGATTGAATTAAGTTTAAACTAAACCCCTAATTGACACATAAAACTATTTTCAATTTTTAATTTTTAGATTAATATCATAAAAGCCCACATATAAATATATGTATAAAGATTTTATGGTGATTAAAAATAAAAGTAGAGTTTAAAATTATTTGTTAAAATATAATATGAACTTAAAAAAGCTAAAAAATTGGTTTATGCTTAATAACTAAAATTAAAAATATAAAATTGATTAAAAATGTTTATACGTATATGATACTTTTAGCTCTCCTTGAAAGATACATATGGTTTTATAATTAAAATTTAAAAATAATTTTTACATACCTTAATTGTTATTGCAAAATTAAAATGGTATTTTTGTTATTATTGAGAGATTGGAGGGGTAATTTTGCGGAATCCAATACGTTTGAAAATCCGCTACTTCTGCCTTTTCAAAGAATTTAAAAATGGTGATGCTTGCGAGAGAGTAGATAACTTGTCTGCAAGGGAATCAAACCAGACCGAAGACCATCTTCGTACTCTCTTCAATTCAAGAGTTAATATAAGTTTTTCAAAGCTACCACCATCCATCTTTCTCTCCTTCGATCTCCCATTTTCTCCATCTCCTTCAGTCTACATCACCGCTATCTTTGTACCTTTTCCAGCTATTTTGTGTGATACCTTTTGGAGGATATAATGAAGACGGTATTAGAATTCTAGTGGACGAATTTTCCTTTTTCAGAAAAGCGAACGACAAAGCTCCAGATCTATCGTTTTCTACTTTGTATAAGCTGAAGATCGTTTGGTGGATATGTTTTTGTTTTATCTAATTGTCTGTAATTAGTTTATATGCTCTTCTTTTGAATCTGTACCCCCGGGGAGATTTTGCAGCTGCATCTGTTGCACAGTTTTGATTAAGACCTAGAGAAGTGTTCATACTACAGCTGGTAAATATGGTGACTAAAGAGAAAGACGAAGAGCTGGCTCTGTTTCTGGAGCTGCGGAGGCGCGAGAAGGAGAAGGAGAAAGAAAAGGAAAAGAACAATCTTTTCCTCCTCCAAAACACTGATGACCTCGGCGTCTCTTCTTTAGCTGGTACATGGTTTTTCATTGAAACTTTTTTATTCTCCGTTTCTGTTGATTTTGGCGTTTTGGGTTCTGGGTATTGGTTTGACTGATTCTTATACGCAATTGATTGTGGTGTGCCATCCGCTTCAGGATCTTATCATAATAATAATAGTAGTAATATTGAACCAGCTGCTTGTCCAGCGTCCAAGATGATGTCCTCCGTGCAGCCCCGAAGGACCGCTGCTGAGAACTTTTTGTATTCAGAGAACGAGAAATCTGATTATGATTGGTAATGTTTAAAAATATATTTTTTTTTCTTTATTTTCTAAGAACATTTGCTGTTCATAACTGATTGAGTTTATTAAACACACAATCATCTTTGTGGCTGACACAGTTTATGGATAATTTGTGTTTCCTTTTCTAGACTTTCGCTAGATTATGATGTGATCTGTCTATTTCCGTACTTAGGGATAGAGAGTGGAGCAAAGTAACTTAAGATATTTTTGGAAATGATGGTTTTTGAACTAGCAAAATGTTTGGAGCTTGATGTCTTGTGTGTTTTATCCCCGTGGTGAAAATCTTGATCCTTTGGATAAGCTTGATCGAGATGAAGTTGTAAGGAGTTTAGCCTATGCACTTCTAAATGAGCAGCTCAGCTCGAATTTTTATCTTGATCCTTTGGAGGTTGAAGGATCGCTTGAATTTTTGATTATCTTAAACTTTTATTTCTGGTATGACGAAGAACCTTCAATTTTGTTTGTTCATTTTAACAGCATGAATTTTTTCAAATCTTGAGGAATGCTAAGAGTATTTCTTTATGCATTCATTTACAGAACTAGTATGTTGGAGTTGTCTCAGATTTTATTGGTGATAGAGATTTTCCACTCAATGTTGACTTGGAAATGAGTGGTTTTTGAACTAGCAAAATGTTTGGAGCTGATGTCTTGTGTGTTTTATCCCCATGGTGAAAATTTTTATCCTTTGGATACGCTTGATCGAGATGAAGTTGTAAGGAGTTTAGCCTATGCACTTCTAAATGAGCAGCTCAGCTCGAATTTTTATCTTGATCTTTTGGAGGTTGAAGGATCGCTTGAATTTTTTATTATCTTAAACTTTTATTTCTGGTATGACAAAGAAGAACCTTCAATTTTGTTTGTTCATTTTAACAGCATGAATTTTTTCAAATCTTGAGAAATGCTAAGAGTATTTCTTTATGCATTCATTGACAGAACTAGTATGTTGGAGTTGTCTCAGATTTTATTGGTGATAGAGATTTTCCACTCAATGTTGACTTGGTGAAGAAGTATAGGTTCTCCTTACTTTTTTCTTTCTGAGAAAATAGGTTGTCTATACTATGACCAATGGAATGAAGTTACTTTTGTTTTTCTTCTTCAATTCTTTTTTTATATAAGGGAGTTCTGGGTAATGAGAGAAATGTTAGTTTGTAGCGAGTTTCTATATAGCGTTGACTTGGTGAACAAGTGTTTGTTTTTTAGATATTTGCTTGAATGTATGGACTTATCTTTTCATGAAGAAAGTTTAGGGTAATGGAGTTCATGAATCCTGCAGTAAAGAAGTATATTCAGTTCGATGGGTTGTTGTTATCAATATTGTGGTTGCTGTTGGTATTTTCTCATTGTGATAAGATGTTTGGTTTTTTAAACCATAGTCATATCTTATGGATGCATATGAAAGGAACTGAATCAATGTTTTCTTTTTTTTTTCCATCTTCATTGTTACATGAATTCATACGTAACTTATATCAGACCAATGATTGTCATTGTCTTGGATGAAATGGGAGTATATATTTTTGAAACTGGACCTGCAAGGAAATCATTGTAGGTGCCATGAAAATCATGAGAGCAAGAAAGTTATACTGCCATTTTGGAGACAGAAATTGTATGATTATGGATATAGATTCAATAGGGAAATTCATTGGCTCTTTTCTGGAAAATTTGTTCTCTTTTTTTAGATAGTTTAGGATAATAAGAATGTGATGTTTCCCATGCTTTCCAGTAACTCAGATGAGAGTTATACTAGATTACATCAGTGGTAACAATCAGTATTTCTCATTGGACAAGTCAATTTCTTCGGAGAAATCGTGATATTTCAGTTGGAAGTGAGAAATAAAACCAACTTTATTTTATGTATTCTACTTTTAAATTTATCATGCAAACCCTAAACAGAATATGATTAAGGTAACTGAGTTATAATTTCTTTCCCAATATTTTGGTTGAATCTAAAAATGTTCTTTAACACTTGGAGTTTTTGTTTTCACTATCATAATTTTATATTTTATTTTTGAAAACCTAACTTCTCTGCTTCGAGTAGTTATATAGCGACTGGAGATGATGGTCCATAAATTTAAATGTGTCTCATACACTGGATTTATGTTTTATCACAATGGTACAATATACTTTGAAGAATTTGTTTGATTCTATATTTATTGAGGATGTTTTCTGTATTCAGGCTCCTTACACCTCCTGGCACGCCCCTCTTTCCTTCTTTGGAGAGGGAATCACTGAAAACCTTAATGAGCCAACTTGAGGTGCCTAATGCTCGTCCAACTGTTCTAAAATCAAGGGTAAGAACCTCTATTAAGTCATACTCTTTTTCAACTGTTCTGATAGGCATGTGCATGTATAGCTTTGCCCACAATAAACTTATGAGTTGGGCGATCCTGAGTAGAAGTTCCAAATCCCAGTCTTTCCATGGTTCTCTAATGATGAATATTGTCCATCATATTTTTTCTCCTCTTTCTATGGTAGTTCCTCATATTTCATGACTTGCTCATTGACGTTGCCCTGGATTGCAGCTCGCAAATTTCCAAGAAGAACTTGTTTCAAGGGGCAAAATAGCACCTAAGCATTCTACTTTGCCATCTGGTCTGAATTCTTCCAGCAGTGGTACTAGAAGGCCCTCATCCTCTTGTGGATTGAAATCTGCTAGCAGACCTGCTACGCCAACTGGGCGGGCTACTCTACCAGCAACAACCAAACCTTCAAGACCATCTACACCAACTTCACGGGCAACATTGCCTTCCACTAAGACTGCTACTCCCGCAGTCAGATCATCAACTCCTACTAGATCCCGTGCACGTTCTTCAACACCAACTGCTAGACCCTCTGTTCCAGCACGTTCCTCAACACCAACTAGTAGACCCTCTGTTCCAGTACGTTCCTCAACACCAACTAGTAGATCCTCCCTACCAGCTCCAAAATCTACATCAAGATCAGCAACACCAACCCGTCGCACAGCAACTCAATCAAGCACGCCTACTGTATCTATTCCTGCTTCTGATCAGTCTTCCTTGGTGTCAAAGTCTAGTCCCACAGCCTTGAACAAGGTAGCTCCATCTCGTGGAACTTCTCCAACCGTGAAGTCTAGGCCCTGGAAACCATCTGAGATGCCTGGCTTCTCACTTGAAGCTCCACCAAATTTGAGGACATCAGTACCAGATAGGCCTGCTTCAGCTTCTCGAGGTAGACCAGGAGCCTCAAGTGCTCGATCATCTTCTGTGGAGGCTGGTACTAATGGCAGACCCAGAAGGCAATCGTGCTCTCCTTCTAGAGGAAGGTCATCTGTTGGGAATCCCAGTGGTAATAGTTCAACCATACCTTCGGTACGCAGGGCACATTCCAATAACACTGACAATGTGAGTCCAGTTGTAATTGGAACCAAAATGGTTGAAAGAGTAGTAAACATGAGGAAACTAGTACCACCAAAGCTAGATGACCATCGGTCTGCCCATACAGCTGGGAAGTTCTCTTCTCTTGACAGCTCAGGCTTTGGGAGAACACTCTCTAAGAAATCTCTTGACATGGCTTTGAGACATATGGTATGCTTTCTTTTCTTGCATAACTAGAACAATTGAGTATTGCGTGATTAGATCCATGATCCTTTTGGGCCTGCTTGATTTCATGTTTTGCTTCGTTCTCTTTCATGAAATACCTCATTTGCCCCTCTTATCTATCATATATTGTTAGAACCAGCTAAAGACTAATGGATGGTCTTTACATTGAGGAAGATATGAATGTTAGTATTTGAGGTTTTTGCTTATGCCTTTGCAGGATATACGGAAAAGCATTTCTGGTAACCTTCGCCCGCTCATGACAAACATTCCAGCTTCCTCCATGTACAGTGTGAGATCAGGATCTACAAAAAGTAGGACTGTAAGCATTTCAGACTCTCCTCTTGCTACAAGCAGCAATGCTAGCTCTGAGCCAAGTGTCAACAATATCTCGTTTTGCCTGGATGGAAGTGAAATGGAAGACAATGATGTCGGAAGTGAGAGAGGAAACTCCTCTCCCACCAGCCTGCATGGTCGATGACCATGGGTTACACACACCACCATTATTAATGCTCCCACATTGCTTTTTATATGCTTATTCACGAGGAAACTACCCGTTTCTACGAGATTGTAGGAAAGCTGTAAAATTTGTTGTGTAACAGACTGTTTAGATTATGAAAATGTATGGTAATAGGAACGTGTAGCCTTTTGCATCTCTCTTACTGGTCGTCATGTGAGATAATAATAATAATATATATCTAATCAACTGATAAAAGCAACGTACGTACCTTATTCAATCAACCATGTTATGCACATACATAAAACCACCTTCCCTCCAAGCGCTTCTAACCCGGCGTTAATTAATATTATTAAAAATAAAACATAATTAATTATCAAAATCACGCCAACTAACATTCTAATTAATTTAGTAAAAAAATATTCATCATCATTAATCATCTTCACTCTTATGATGCTTTGCTCCGCCTTCATGCTGACTATAACTCTTCCTCGCAGATTCAACGTCTGCATGTTCAATGGCTTCTCCGGTGGCATCAAATGTCTTCTCCACCGTCTGGTTCCTTACCCCTTGCTCCGTCGCCATCCTCACTTTTTCCTCCGCCACCTTTTTGAACTCGTCAGCCGTCGATGACGCTCTCTCCTGTTCTATTAATATTTCGTGACCGTTACCTTTATTTTCACTCTTCTTCCGGCCTTTTCCACTTTCGCTGTAACTCTGAAATTATTTGTTGTCTTGATTATACATGATTAATTCAGATTATTGATATATTAATTAAACCTAAATCAATAAAAATCACGACACACACAAACAGACACGACGTAAAAATAATTTGCATACTAAATACAATACACATATATGTATATGTAATTACCTTGACTTGCGTGTAGAGACATGATCTAGAAAGTTTGATAAGCGAGAGAGGCCGTGATGAGTTGTTGCAGAAGAAAATATGGGTACCCATGGTTAATTTTAATGGTGATGATAAGAAGATTAATTAAAAATCAAAATCAAAATCAAATCGTTAAGAACTGAAAAATATAATGGGAAAAAGTATGGAAAACGAAGATGTGATTAGGGTTTTCAACGTTAATATTTAAGACCAAGGCAAGAGGAAGCTTAGAGATGATCTGCATGTCCACGTGTCTCTTTTTGCATTACTTCATTTTGGTACGTGGTGGTTGAAGAACTTGACATTTCATTCTTGTCATGCACAAAAATAATTTCGTCTTTTTTTTTTTTTTTTTTTTAGGTTTTAGGTTTTAAAATAATTATGAAACGTAACCTCTTCTATTTGTAGTTTTATTATTTTTACTCAAAGTTGAGAAATTTACTCCCAACTGTTCTTTTGTTCTTGAGAAATTTACCATATTAAATTGTAATTAACTCCTAACCTCGTAAAAAAGAGTAAATCTTAAATAGTTTATAAACCCTACTTTTTGTCGGAGGAAAAAATATTGTCAATCTCTTGCTTGCATTTGACCCACTAATCTAAAACGGGCATCGTCAACCTTCTGGATGTTTTTGACTTGATTCTTTTTCTGCGGTTGACTAAGTAAAATTATTAAGAACCTAAACCCAAGATTTGATGCTTAATCAAGTTTTAATATTCCAAAGAGTCAGTCTCCAAAATATATATATATATATTTCAAGATTTGGTAAGCAATCAAATTATGTTTTGAAATCTTTTTTTTTTTCTTTTGGGTCAGTTTTTTTAAGTATACTATTTAGTAGAGTTGAAAAACATGGTTGTCAAATACGCGTGTGTGTGTGTGTGTGTATTTATTATATTGGATGAAAACCGATCTGTAATTTTTTTATATGGTATTGATGATAGATGTTGAAATTTTTTCTAGTTTAATGTTATTGGAGTTGGAGGAAAGTATAATAAGACTTTTGAAGATAGAATCTTAAGGGTTCAAATTAATTTTTATTTGCAAAACTATAATATATATACACACACACAGAGACAGTGGAAACAAAATTTCTAATTTCGTTTTTGTTTAGTTGACAAAGTAAAATTTAAAAAATAGAGCGATAAATATTTTTTAAATATGTAAATTTATGTGATATCATTTGACAAAAATTTAAGTGGATTAATAAAATTAATGTAAGGTAATATATATGATTATCGCTATAAACTAGTTATATGAAATAATTTTTTAAAATTTAAAGTTGATTGGTTAGAATTTATTTTTTTGATCACAGAAATTGAATTGGAAAAAGAATCAAAGATCTTTTCCAGCTTATTATCATTGATGATGAAAACTTGAACTCGATAAGTATACCTAATAAACAAGAAATCTATGAGGCAATCAAATCTATTGGAGCTCATCAAGCTCCTGATTCAGATAAAACGTCTACTATTTTCTATCATGTTTAATGGTATACTATTAAAGAGGAAGTTATTAATACAGTCAAATAAATTCTTCATGTAAAATTTTATACTGAAATAATTTAACCAAGCATATTTACTATTTATTCCTAACTATGAGGGAGCAAGAAAAACCCAAAATCCTAGGTCAATTTCATAATGCAATATCATTTATAAAATTTCTCTAATATCTTGGCCAATTAGCTTAGTCCTAGAAAAATTACTTCATAATACAAATAACTTTTATCAAAAGAAGATGCTTTCAGGATAAATATGATATTATAAATCAATTGATAAATCCCATGAGAGGAAGCAAAGGAAATAAAGGGCTAGATAGCAGTTAAACGTGATATGGAAAAAATATTTGACAAAAGAGAATGGTCATTCTTAAATCAAATATTGTGCAATCTTGGTTTATCTTCAAATGTTAGAAATTTAATTTTACAATATATAACTACTATATCCTATAAATTTATTACTAATGAGATACCTTCTGAAGACTCCACCCAAAAAAAGGGTTTAAGACAAGGAGATCATTTTTCTCTTTATTTTTTGTTTATTCTTTATACAAAAGCGTTATCACGAATTTTAGTGAAGTTGAGGTGGAAGGGTTCATTCATGGAGTTAAAGTGGTTCGAAATGCTCTATTAATAATTCACTTGTTGTTTGTAGATGATTTACTCATATTTTGTCAAGAAAATATGAAAGAGCTATTAGGAATTCTGAAATGTAGAGAGCAATACATTGCTGGTCGAGACAGAACCTGAATATTTAAAATTTTATGTCTTATATTCTAGCAACATCAAGAGGAATGAGCGAAAAATTTTCAACTAAGATTAAATACTACATAAAAAAAACACAAAGTATATGGGTCTCCCACTAATTGAAAGTAGAGTTAAAGGAAATATTTGAGGGCTCATATGCAAATTTGAAGCTAACTTGTAGGTTAAAAAGCCAAACTACTCTTAAATGTTGGAAGGTCTATATCAATCAAGTCAGTATTAAATTCTATACATTCTTATAGCACGCCTATTTTTGTTATTCCTCACGAAATTTGTGATAATCTTGATAAATTAACTAGAAGGTTTTAGTAAAACTTCAAAGAAGGAAATAATAGAAGATATACTCTAATTAGTGGGCCTGAGTAGAGCTGTAGGAGATTTATCATTCAAGAATTTTTCATTTGGCCTTAGTTTGTAAATTGATTTAAAAATTGATCAGTAATGAACAAAGACCTTGGATGGAAACTATTAAGGCCAAATATTTAAAACAAGCTAATTTTTTCTTAATATCAAAGAGAAGATAAATCTCTTTATTTTAGAATAATATCATAAAAACTAGAGACTTGATTAGAAAAATAGCATGCATAAAAATCATATTGGGAATCTACTTTGACTTAAGAAGACCTGTGGATCCCTAACTTCACAGACTTCATTCCCAAGCATATGGAGACCTAGAGTGTAACACCCTAATTTTTTTTTATTAGTATTATTTTATTTTAATTTTTTTATATATGAATATAATAATTTATCATGTAATAATATATAGTTTTAAATTAGTTTAATTTAATTAAATAGAAATAATAATAATAATAATAATAATAAAGGATAAAATTATTTTTAGAATTTAATTGAAAATAATTTTAGAAAAAAAAGGTGAAAATTTGGATTATAGGGGTATTTTTGAAAAGAAAATTGAAAACCGGAGGTCGAAACGCAATTTAGAAAAATTGTGCTACGTCAGCAGCCCGGTCAGCAGCTCCGACCAACCAGGACACGTCGCGTGGTAGAGACACTGACGGAGAGGCCACGTGGAAGGGAGCCACGTGGGCGATCTGCCTGCGCGCTATCGAACGGCCGAGATCCGTTCCCGCGCGCACGAACAGTCCAGATCAAAGATGCGTGCGGACGGCCCAGATTTCACACATACGAACGGTACAGATTGAATTGCGCACGGACAGTCCAGATCTCATTGCGATGAACGATCTAGATTCATTCCCTATTTAATCGCGATCGGACGATCCAGATTAAATCGCGATAGACAGTTCAGATTAAAAGCGGAAAGTTATAAATAATCTCATCCACACCCAAACCCTAACCCTAGCCACCAGAGCTCTCTCTGGAGAAGACAGCCCAGCCACCGGGGAACCGATCGCCGCTACCCGCCGCCACACTAGAGCACTTTCCGGCCGCCAAACGAGGTAAAAATTCTCCCCTTAGCTCGGATTTCGATTCTAAACCCACCTGTGGCCAAATCGGAGCCAAAACACTGGCCAATTGGCCGGAAAATACCGCTGAAACCCAGCAGCGTCGCCGTGGGTCTTCTGGATTTTTGCTTCCAATGAGACCTTTTCCCATTTCCGTTCGATGTAATTTTTACACAATTGTGATCACCGTTCCTTTCTCTACAGGTTGACCAGAGTAAAACACCAAATTGCAACTCGAGCCGGAGAAGCCGCTGCATCGGAGAGCCCTACTACCAGTAAGTTTCGGTTTTCGGCCCACCGAGGGCCCTAGGGGTGTTTTATCACAGGAATCAATATAAGTTTGGCCGAATTCGACTGAAAACGGCCAACTCAATGTGGATTGCCGACGCTTGCGGCGCCGCC